TTTATTAATCACAAATTATAAATTTATAGGTCACGCATTATTTCTCAATCACAAATAATAAATTTTATAAGACACAACTTATTTTACTTCATAATTTTATAAATTATCAAATTATTCGGTCTTCAATCACGATTACAAATTTAATAACAATATCACTTCTTTAGTTCGAATATTATTAATTGGTCACAAAGTAACCATTTTATTGGTACAATCACCCAAATAAATGGTCACCAATGCTCTTCGTCTCACCTCACACTACCCATTCCCATCAGCACCAGCACCAATTGAACTTCGAGTTACCCCATCACCAAACCACCATCTATACTACCACCGACATCGACACCATTAGCACCACAACAAAACTCCAGCTAAGCAGATCGAATGAGATCAGAGGGGGAAGAAACCACCTAAAAACTCGAAAATCACCCCAAAACCATTATCGTTGCTCATTTCGTGCAGTGTCGACTTCATGCAACATCGCTAATGCGTGAACTACAACCAAACCTCTACCAAAAAAATGGCCACCATAAACCACAATAACCATGACTCCATTGCATCCATTTTGGAGAAATCAAACTCAATAATAATAATAATAATAATAATAATAATAATAATAATAATAATAATAATAGATATGGTGGTACCAGGTGGGTGATCATGGACCTAGTGGTTTGTAGCAACTTGGCATGAGTTTGGGTAGTAAACTTCTCCCAAGTTTGGCTAGAGGATTGTGATGATGTGCCAAAACTTGGAGATTGTGAGGAAATAGGAGAGAAATGGATTTGGGGTTTTCGGTAGATAAATGGTTTTATGGTTAGCGTTAGAATACTGTAGGGAGTGAGGTAGGGATAGGGTAAACTCGATTTTTGAAATAAAAAACATTGTATTTGATTGTTGAAATGAGAAGTTGAAAAATTGGTGTAGATATAATTTTCTCAAAATAAAATCCCTCAAATTTGAATATAGGCCCATAGAGCCCTAAGACACAAGTTCTAAAATTACAATTGAGTCCATAAACTTTTCAAAAATTGTAAAAAATTAAAAAAAAAAAATCTTATATTCAATATTATTAACTTGTGTCAGAAAATGATCATTGTCATTAATAATAACCATGGTTTTTAAATTCCAATTTTTTAGCATCACCAAAAGTTGACTCTATCTCTTCAACACGTAGGAGAATACATTGGAAATTTGTTGATTACCTAAGAGTATCTACAAGAAAATCTTTATTTTTATAGTGCATATTATGCATTATAGAAAGAAGAAATTGCACTACATGTCAATTTTTGATTTTGAATTTTCAAGAAATGTCACTTTTTCATAGTCTTTATAAGATCGTCATTTTTTGACATTTTTGCCCCGCTAAAAAATTTAAATACCCTACACATTCTTGAGTTGACAATATAAAAAAAGTTGTACAAAAATTGAAAAAAATCTAACATCCAATCACCTCAGAATTGTATTTGAAATCTACCTTCCATTAAGCCCCCATTTGATACCCATTTTTTTCAAAATGCATTTTTCTCTCTCTTCTTTTCAAATTAACATTCTTTATTAAAATAATATTATACATAAATCAAAAAAAATTTCTTACTTTTTAACAAAACACTTCTCATCAAGTTACTATTTTAAAATACATTTTTATATAAAAATAGCTCTCAAACACCCTCTAAAAGAATGAATGGAAATCCATTGTTCATCCTTGGACCAAAGTGTTCGTATTGAGTTGGTTTAAAATTGGTTCAACACGATTGATTAAAAAGAGCTGAAAATATGCCGTGTTATATTAGATATTTTCCGCAATCATAATACGAACAAGATATTTTTTTCAATTCCAGCAATTTTCCATCAATCGTAATTTCCTTCTTCTCTCGATCTCAAAGATCTAGAGAACTCTTGTAAATCCTTCAAAAAAATCCCAGTTCTAACTGGGAAATAGGAATCTTGAGAAGACCCTTCAACTTCTTTTTAATATTATTCAACATCCTTGAAATCGCTCTTCAAATTTTACAAAAGAGGGCAAAATTTGCACAGAATGTGTACTGTAACTCATTCAAGGATCTTTTTCTCTTGCCTTTTGTTGTATGTTTCTTCGATTTGTTCTATTTCTGTTTCTCTTTATTTGATTTCTTCTATGTGTTTAGAGTTTATCAATTTCCAGTGAGATTTTGGGTCATCTTCATCTCTTGCTTCTTGTTGTGTGTATTTGTTCTCATTTTTTCTACCTTCATTTATTCTTTTTGGTCGATTACTTCTCTGTGTTTAGGGTTTATGAACTTTCAACGAGATCCCTTTATTTATTTTTTTATCTTTTGTTTATGCTTTTGTATGTTTGTTCTTTTTTTTCTTTTACCTGTATTTTTATATGTTTCATTGTTTCTCTTCTGTGTTTAGGGTTCACTGATTTTCAGAAAAATTTCATGTTCAACAGAAACTGTTATTGCAAGGATGGAAATGGATTTGAACTTAGTATTTATTAAATTTTTTGCAAGATTGTAGACGTATTTATAGCTCTTTTGAAATTTTAAGGTTTAATTCTCATGGTTAAATTTCATTTATGCAAACTGTTCAACTGAGAAGTTTCTCTTGCATTAGTTTGTGTAGAATTAGATATTTTCTTACCTTTTATTTTTTCCTCTTTTGTCAGCTGGCACTATAGTTGACATTAAATTAATACATTTGGGAGTATTGATAACCAAAATTCATTTTTTGCCTACATTACCACTTCATAAGCACCCTACATTAACCATCTAGCTCTTCATCCCTTCAATTTGATTTAACCTCCATTAGTTGGAGTATATTCCTAATATAACCATACATTCATTTTTACATTCTTATTTATGCAAGAGCTATGGCATTTTTGTACATAGGTAATACAATAATGTAAAGCATAGTTCATCTAATAACTTACCGTTTAAGTTGGTAGGCATTTTTTGATAGCATAGAATCCTTGTTATTTCAACCTACGTTGTTTATTCCATTTTTTCTAAGTTAGGCATGGGGATTGAATCTGCTCTATTCCCTTAGTCTATTGTGAATTTTCCATCTTTTTTTTGCTAAGGAATGTTCAAGTTAGTAATAAAGATATTAATACTGCAAAAAAAATTTAATCCTTCCACTCCAAGGCTATTGTCTAAGGCACTCTATATTTGACTATCTTTTCATTAGTGGCAAGTTTGCAGTAGTTGTTGGTGCCAATGACACGTGGAACCATGTAGTATATCTATTTTAGCTATATATCCCCATTGATTCTCTTTTACAAACCATCCTTACAATTTCACAGCCCACAAATATTAGGGGGTTCTCTTTCTTTCCCCTTACACATTCTCTATCTCTCACACTCGGTGATTTCTTATATAGACAAATAAGTGAATAAACCTAGAGATACAATATGATCTATCTATTTGTTGGAAAGATGTTTCAAGACTTGCAACAGTCTCTAAATCGCTTGGTGCAGTTCGGGAGTTCTTTTGCCTGTGCAATTGATAGTTGGCAAAAGATTTGTACTAAATGAATCAGAGTCTGACATGAATATCATTTCAATGTAGTTGTTTAGTAGGATTCAAATGGATCCTTTTACTGATGGTATTATTCAGTTGTTATTTAGTGACTTTAAAAACTTTAAAGATTTTTTATATTAATGAGCATTTATTCCCTGGCTCTGCTCTTTATGTTCTTCATCAAGCTACAGCTAATTTGGCAAAATGTATTAAAGAAGGACTATAAAAGGTGGTTTTTTGGCTTTAATATACTATTTTCATTTTTAAATTCAAATCTTTGAAACATTTGATCTATTTTTAATGGATATGTTAGTTTTTCATTTTAGCGATTTTCAACTTAGTTTTCCGTTTCACGGTAATGCCTACATGTATTGAAAAAGAAGATAAGTAACTTCTATGAAAAATCAACTATATATCTTTGTAATCCCCTTTGATTCATGGTCACGTAACAGAAGTTTATATAGTTGTAATCTTGAGTTTTTCTTTTTGGGGCACTATGGCTCCCTAAATAAACTTGGGAGATAAGTCAGCATTTTAATGCCAGAAAATATAATGTCATTCCATTCATACATACATATATATAGTCGACTCAATATTCAATGTTAAAAAATTTCTACCTCATGTCATTTTATGGTGAATATAAAATAATAATTTCATGTGTTTAGGATGATATAACTGTACTGCTACATGTCATATATTCTTGAATTCATTTATGCTTTATATAACTTTGTGCACTTAATTGGATTATTTTGATATGCTAGATAGAGATTCAACTATTCCCTCTCCTCGTTATTATTTTTCATGTTTTCTTTTATGTTAATTTCCTTGCCCTGCACGTAGAAGTGTTGATTTTCACAACTTTTGTACATTTGAGATATCTTACTGTATTGTCCTCTACGTTAAAAGTATTTTAAACGAACTATTTAATTTGTCACAATAAAAGTATTTACAATTATGAATTATGGATATATGACTATTTCTCGATAGATCAGTTATGTGACCTATTTGTCGTTTTTGACAGTTGGTTTCAATTATCCTCGATAGATGACTAAATATTGATAGATGAGTTGAGTCATCTATCGATATAACTGTCATTTTCGACATATGACAGCTTCTCGACAAATTAATTTGACAGTCATCTGTCCACATTTCTTACTTTGGTCCATCCGAACATTACATGTGTGTTTTGCTTTCTTATACGTGTGTTTTGCATTAATATGTACTAATTATTATGATCCAACCTTTTTTGCTTTGTTCTTGTACCTAGTTTTTGCAGATAAATTTTGAATTTCTTGTTCCCAAAAATGCATGCTTACGCACCCATATATCTCGAATGAGCAATTTCAAGTACCTAAAAATCATATTGGAGAATTTTGATGATGGAAAGCTGGAAGATTTCGGCAACTCATGCCTTGAGTTCCTTGCTAAGGTACTTGACATACAAATCTTGACACAATTAATCCAATAACTAGTGTTCAGATATGTAATTTGTTCCCAAAAATGCATGCTTACGCACCCATATATCTCGAATGAGCAATTTCAAGTACCTAAAAATCATATTGGAGAATTTTGATGATGGAAAGCTGGAAGATTTCGGCAACTCATGCCTTGAGTTCCTTGCTAAGGTACTTGACATACAAATCTTGACACAATTAATCCAATAACTAGTGTTCAGATATGTAATACCTTAATTTTGAAAAAAACAAAACAAAAAAAAAGAAAAAAAAAAGTCAAACTTTAGCCCAAAAAAAAAAAAGAATAAAAAACAAAAAAGAAGAGAGAGGCGGTGGATTGATTTATACCAATCCACCCATGTTCAAAACCTATACATTTCTCCCACAAACCCACACACCAAGCAAACGAGGGCAGGGAGGGAAAAGAGAAAGAAAGAAGAAGAAAAAAAGGAGAAGAGGGAAAAAAAATAAAAATAGGAAAGTTCGTTTATGTTGTTAGAAAATAAGTGATTTACGTTATTAAGCTTGAATTCCTCAATTTTGAAAGGTAAGTAAAAAGTTATCTATTGTCAAGTTATGTTTGATTTTATAGTTGTTGGATTGTTAGATTAAATTCAATTTTATTGAAGGGGTTAAGTATAATAAACTATGAAATTGAGTAAGATGAAAGAAAAATTAGTTTTAATGATTAAATATACTATGAAAATCACTTAAATGTGAAATGATTAAGTTTGGGTATTGTCTATTTAATTATTAAAATTATTTAAAATAATTAATTCTTTATTTAAAAATTATATCGTATTTCAGACGACGATACTGACATCAGAACAGCTTATCAATTGGGTTGATTTTGCGAACATAGTATTGTGAGTGGAAAAATATAAATATTTTTAAAGTATATATAAATTAAGTATATTGTTAAAGTATGTGCAATTATATGCAATTATGTGTTCGAATTATATGGTTATTATAGAAATCTCTTTTATTATGATACATGTGGAATATCAAAAATTATTTATGGTATATTTGTGACTTGTTATGTAAGACATGTGATATTGAGATTTGTTTGGTACGTGAGACATGCAATATTGAGATCGGCTAGAAAAGTACCCATGATTATATACTTCTTCTAGTTCACAAAGGGGTTTTGTCCGTGTTCTATCCTACACGGAGGGTTTTGACCGGACATTGATCTTGATCGTGTACATATAGTTCACAGAGGGGCCTTAACCGTGTTCTAGAATTGATTATGAGAAGTCTTTGAAATCGGCTTTCGCCCATGGAGGGAGCCAAAGGCCCGTGGCGAAAGTTGTTAGCCCGAGATGCGGATTATATATTTCAGTCAGAGGGTATATTTTTGGTGGATTTTTCAGCACGTTTAATGTGATGTGATTATAGCATGATTATCAGCTGATGTGATATTATGATTTTGAGATGATATTTTACAACCTTATGTGAATATTTCACTTTTGGTTATAATTATATGATGTTATCTTATGAATTATGAAATGATATGAACTTCATTTTCGATAGAAATGTAAAATTGAAAAAGTATAATTATTTTTTAACTTCTCCACTCACTGAGTTATCAACTCATATATTTTCCCACAATTTTTCCTGCAGGTGGAAATTGATCATTTTTAGCTGGAAAAGCCTAATGATTTCTGAATAAGAACCACACGATATGTTGAGTGTTATAATTCATATTGATGAAGCACAAAGTAAATATTTTGGATCCATTGCATTATGTTTTACATAAGCATTTGATTTTGTTGCATTTTTTGAAATAACTCATAGTCAGCCTTGGTGATAGATTGTCAATCTAGTCAGCATCTATCATTGGCGTACGTCACGTTTCAGGTCCACTAGGGTGATTCGGGACGGGTCGTGTCAAGATCCATTCAAACTGATAAGGCAAATTCAATGTATGTGGGCACCTGAAAAGGTTCTTATCGTGTACTCTTACGATCGTGACGGGATTAAAATGTGGTCTCGTCCAGGAAGGTGATGAATTTATTATGGTCCTGGAAAAATGAGACTCAAGGACAAATACTTCAAATTCATGGAGAAAATTTCATGTGTCCAATTGGAAAAGGCTTTTCTCCGACCATTGACGTCCCGAGTTGATCGATACAAGCTATACCTTGCTTTAATTGTCGAAGGAGTATCCGATGATCTGGATAATAATGTGGGTATTGATATCGATATATTGTCAATCGTTGACAACCTAAACATATTTTTTTATTACCCTTGGGGTAAAGTAGGTACAATCATCTGTTAAGGGGATTCAGGGGTAGTTGAACATGGAAATTTCGTAAGGCTAAAGCAAAGAAGGAGAAGGAAATCCGTTATATGATTCATGGATTTTCCATTGCCATGCAAATATGAATAATTATTTTCAAAAATGTATTCATTATTATTTCAATAAAAATATATTGTCACGTGTATGGAAACTTTTGTAACAATGGTATTTTTTTTTACAAATATGGGCATTTGAGGCGATTCCTGAAGTTGGTAAAAGGCTTAATAATCGATCGCCATGGCTTCTTAGTGGGACGTCTTCAAAACAACCGCAACAATATACGTACGAGGCATTCTTCAAAAACGATGAGGTCTTTGATCATTTCAATCTAGTCAATGTTTCAATTTGAAAAATGCATAGAATAAATTTCCACGGACACTCAATTTATCTCTACCAACAATTAAAATTTTTAACATGACGATTTTTAAATGTCGAATTCAACAATTGAACTATCAAAAATGACAGGGTGATTGAAACAAATTCTTCATCACATTAAGTGTTGTCGTCAATATTGTACTACCACATGATAAAATCTTCTTCCCAAATAATTTGCGCTATAAATCATTAAAGAGGCAACCCCTAAAAACATTTATGAGATTTGATTGAAATAATTTATTCAAAATATTAATAGAGATAATTAATTCTCAACTATAATATGACAACATCTTTCCAAATAAATACTTCAATGTTTTATTAAATATGGAATTCTTAACAATATTTTGTAGAGGATGTTGGTATCTTTATTCCACAAGATTTTGAAAAACCAAACAAATCAATGAATAATAATTTCAAAAATTTCGAATAAATATCACCATGTTGTATCTCTAACCTCTCAAAATGAATGATAAATTCAATAGTATTGTCTTCTTGATGAAGGAATTGAGAAAATGATTAGAAAGTTAAGGTTAATTAATGGTAGAAGAAATTTGTTTATGTTCACTTTTTAAAATCTTTTTTCTTTTTTAATTAAGAAAATTCCTATTACCCAATATAATATACGTATATCCAATGTTTATAGTACACTAATTAAATCATCACATCATAACACTAATGACATTCAAATCAAGTATTAATGAGCATTAAATTGTCCTAAAAGGCTATCAATAAGGGTAATTTGGACCTTTCAAGCCAAGAAAGTGACTTTTTTAGCACCATTAGTAAAAGTGACAATTTTTTGGATATTTTCAAATTCAATTATGTCTACGAAAAATCCGCGAAAGAGAAATTATCTTTAAATTAAGAGAGCCAAAATTTTCATGCAGCTCAATAACATTCTCTATTTTGGCTCTTCATTTAACTTTGCTCAAGAAACATTTATTGATTTCTCCTCTTATTTTATTTAATATTGTTTTTTTATATGTCAACGACCAATCAATTTAAATGTAGTTTGAATAATTTAAAAAGTGGAGTATTGAAATGAAATCTATGACGACTTAAATGCAATCACAGTACAATAAGAATAGATAGTTGATTTGGCTATCTAAATTTAGAAAGTCAAATTTACTCTATATTTTAAAAAGTTAAAATAGAGAGTTTTCATAAAGCTTAATTTTTAGTAGCTCTTTAAAATAAAGAGTATTTTGTATTTACAGAACTTCTTGGAAATGCTCTAACAACATAAAATATTACCCTTAACGTGTTAAAAATTACTAAGCCCTTGTTTGAACCCCATTTTATCAAACACTCATTTTTTCATATTCATTTTCAATTACACATTTTTCAATAAAATAAATTTACACGTAAACTAAAATTCTTTCTTATTTTTTAACTACATATTCTCCAAAAAAACTATTTTAAAATACTTTTTTTCCCCAAAATGTGACTCAAACGTAGGCTAAATGTAATATCAAGAAAAATTAAATCGCCAGAATTGAAGAATGGAAGAAAACTTATTCATGTCCTATACTGGACAAGTTAGCTTTCAAGATTCACATCAATGTGTACTATCATTTAAGGTCCATTTGCGCCCCCAGGTCATATCTCCAAGTGCTAAAAGGGGAGGGTGGAGAAATCCAGCTTTACTTGAGGCTGCTGCGTCAAGGGTTCGAATCCTGAAATATGGATTTGGCTCTTGGGTAAGTGCAAGTGTACAAGCAGCCTTCCACCATGTACCCTTGGAGACATAATCTGCGATTTACCTCCCTCACGATGCTCCAGGGCAGGAGTGGTGAAGAACCCTTAAGGTTAGGGTTTAACCTTTTTTTTTTTATTTTATTTAAGGTCCATTTGCAATATCTTTTACCTTTTGTAGAAAAACTTTTGGATGAAACTATCTTAATTTTTGTTTAAAAATTAATTTTTAAAAGAACTTCTTATTTCAAAAATAATTGTAGAGGAAGTCACATTAGACCAAATTCCTCTTAAGTTTTTCTAACTACTAGAAGTTCTTTCATAAAATTAGCCAAACTAATTCAAAAACTCTGTTTGACTTTTCAAAAGTCATACAAAATGGACCCTTAAATAGTTTTCTATTTAAATTGCAGGTTTGAGTTTGAGTATCCATGTACATTTTGTACACAATACCCCAATAATTAATAAAAAATAACGTTTTGATGGTTGATTTGGGACTTTGAATGTGTTTAGCCAAGTTTAAAAAGGTTAAATCTTCAGTAACCATTAAGTTTTAAAAATAAATAATTTCTTTGTTTGTGTAAATTAGAAAGTTATTTTGCCAGTAACTTTCTAAATTTGTTACCTAAAAACAAAATAATTAGGGATATAAATTACAGTTGTGCTACCTGCACAGACCCTTTTGCACAGGGTTTGTACAGGTGCACACACACGAAGATGAACTCCACAAATGGGATCCACATGTGAGATCTACCTCCATGTGAGAACCCCTGTACAGGCCCTATATAAAAATGTCTGTACAGGTTCTGTGTAGAAGGGTCTGGGAGCTTTATTCTATAAATTACTAGAAAGTAGCTTAAACCTTCATAACAGTAGTCAGTAGTCAAACATTCCGTGGATGTTGAATCATTGTGGGGACACATGTCAAATAAAACAGCTCACATGAATTAAAGAGTCTGTCCTAACAAAGTGGGTCCTTGGTCGGAAAGCTAAGAGGTGTTGGTCATAACTCATGCCATGCGCCCTTTCCAACTCACCAAAAACGCAGTCTATAGTACTTCCAAGGAAGAACAATTTGAATTGATTTCTCCTTCTCCGCCTAGGATTCTAACTCTTTTATGTGAAGTAGGTGACATTGAATACGACGAGCTTATTTACAAGAATAATGTTATTCATTTGGAAGAAACATAGGTTATATAATATTAGTGTTAGTGATCATTTTGTCATATAGTAAAATTGGAAATTTTAGGAAAAGTTTGGTTTGTATTTTAGTTTTCAGTTTTCAGTTCATTTCTAGTTATCTGCATTTAAATTGTCTTTTTGAAAAATTATTTCGCAAAACAAAAAATTAGAAAAAAAAACGTTTAGTTTGAAATTTTGTTTTTTATGACATTTTATTTTATAAAATTTAATTGCATTGTAAAAATGGAACAACTTTATGTTAATAGATTCTCAAATTATATAACATTTTAAAATTAGTGATTCTTATAATATTTTTTCTTGTTACAAAAGTAAAATAAAAGTAAATATAAATTGAGTTCAAAATATAGGGAAAAAAAATAAAAATTAATGCCATGGATTGAGATTTTTTTATTTGCATTTATTTAAATAATCATTAACAGTTTGGACTTTTTTTTTTTTACTAGAAATTTTTTAATTTTATTTTTAGAATTTTAGATTTTATTTTTATATTTTTATATTTTTTAAATTTTATTGTTAAAATTTTATATTTTTATTTTTATTTTTATTTTTTAAAAAAAAATTATAAACGCTTGTTTTCCATTTTTTGAGTGTTTTCAAAATTTTAACTAAAAACATTCAAAACGACAAAAAATGTATTTTGAGTTTTATGTTATAAGTTTAACTTTGTTTTCGAAAGTACATTTGCAAAAATATCAAATCAAACACATTTTTAGTATTTTGCAAAACTAAAAATAGTTTGAAAACAACAAACAAACGCACCCTAGTTTCATGCGATTAGTTCATCTTGATCATATAAACTACGTTTCACCAATCATATCCTAATTCTCCTACAATCTTTACACATACATTCTAGTTGACATCATGCTTTATATTGTACCATGTGACGCACAATTTTACCATTGATTTCTCCAACACTTACAACAATCAATGATATCGATTTTGCCACATATTCAAATGTAATACAAGTTGTATACAAATAATGTACAACTAGCATAATTCTCCTAATTTAACCCATTATTTTTCACATCGGATCTCTATTTTTTTTTTTTACCGAATAGGACAGATAGGTTGCACACAAATTAGGTCAATATCTCATATGATATCTAGTAACAGTGCAGTGGCGTAAATAAATTTCTCTTCTGTGTGCAAGTCTAATAACTCAAATAGAGTATCAACCAAATAAATATTGTTCGTCATAAAATGACACAATATTTAATTTGGTTTGATAATATGCTTACATTACGGTTCAATTTTGAATAATCTTTCATTATAATGAAGTATAATGGATACAATGATTTCTTCTCTTGTTAACACGAGCCTAACAAATACCACATCAAGAATACATTTTGACGAAATCGACATCTAACAGAGTTGGAAGCCCACAATCTATCTAGTGAACCCTACAGGCACAGCTATATCAAGAATTGCACCTATTTTTAGCACAGCCACTCAGCACAATAAATATCAAGAATTCAAGCAGTTCCTGACACGACCATGTTATACCTTTCATCCCCAATTATAACAATTGACCCAAACACAACTCTCTCTCAAGAAAAATTATTCTTGGAATACTGCTAAAAAACCAATAATGTAAAATTTGCTACTTCTCATGTAGATATTCCTCTCGGATAAATCGTTAGATGTTGATCTTAATCGTTGGATCTTAATATCAATGAGTTGTGAAGCATGAGATATCAACAATTGCGCAAATTGTCCAGCTTGTACGATTTTCTATATCGTTGCTCTTGGGCTTCTCACTGTTTCGGATTGATTGGGGTCTCCCGCATACTTTTCAATTTCTTCACAATTCATCCTTTATATATATAGTATAATGAGGCATCAACAAATGATTTTTGTCACAAAGAAAGAAGATCTTAGTGAGACGCATCTTTTCCTTTTGGATTATTCCATATGTATCGAATGATGTCGCCCCTCTTACAAATGCATGCAGGCCCTGCGTGAATTTAAAAATGTCGACATGTGATCTCAACTCTTTTTGTGAGTAGTAGATAAAAGATTCGATAAAAAAATTCGATACGTGTAGCATTGTCCTTTCCTTTTTCCATTCTCCACAAGGAAAGACAATATGCATGCATGGTTTCCTTATTACAATAATTTAGGTCGTAGCTACAGTCTTCTAGTTAATTCCATTGTCAATCGTAATTACCATTCAACCTTTTTTTAATTGAATCAATTTGTTAAATTGAGCATTTGATCCAATCCAACCAAAAGTCATGGGTGGATACCCAACATAAATATCACTCCCAAGTCAAGTTACTTTCCAATAGAAAACAATTCTCTCTATTAATTTCGTCTTTCTCCACATGGGGTTCTGCCGACTTTAGAAAATAAGATAAAAGAAATGGTGAGGAAGAAAAGTAGTTCCATCAAAATACATTTGAGTTGAAAAAAATTAACAATTGATTATATGTTTGTATTCATGACTCATATGGCATGCCATGTGAAAGACTTTAACTATCAAAACGTGACAAAAAAAACTTGTACTTTCAATCAAGATAAATTGGAAAATAAAGTTATATAGTACCAGTGGTGCTAGAACGTCAAACTATGTGATATTATGTAATAGATTCAATTAAAGATGAAATTATGTTATTTATATAATGATATTTAGTATTATCTAAACTGGTGTTGTAACACCAGTAGTACTAAATAGCATTATTCTAAATTGAATTGATTGATCCGAACTCTCACAATCCTATAAATCTAGTCGACCCACTAAATCACGCGGACGAATAAGAGTAGCAGCTTAAGATATGAACAAAGTAGGTACGATATTCCAAGACATGCCCCACTAGGGAAATCATGCTTCATTAAACAAGAAAAATGTGCTATTTTAACTTTGTAAATAGCGATTGTCTAATCCATTCGTGTTCACACGCAATTCTATTATTCAACTTGCTCTTTTAGGCTTAGATGAACGTCATTAAACTGTGCCAACGCATTATCAGTGAATTTTCAACTCAAGCATCAGAATATAACAGATTAGACATCATAAGAACTTCAAAATAAACAACCATGTATAAAACTCCACGTATGTATTGTTCCTGAGGTCACTCTTTCAGTGCTTGATTATCATCCTCATATTCATCGGCCCACTTTGAAGAATAAGATGGAAGAATAAAGTAAGGAAGAAAAGGGTAGGGTGGTGATGAGTTCCAGCTAGTTAACGTGTTCGATTCGTGTAACCTAACCAAATGTGATTGTGCAAAAGCTTTGCCGACATTGTCGACCTACGGACAACAACAGAGAATTGAACACGTGAAGCTTGTTTTAGTCTAGTGATGGTGATGGTGGGCTCTGATAATCACTGGGATATATTCTCTCTTCTAATGCGGCCATTGTCGGCAGTGCTTTTATGTTATCAGAAACACTGCTTTTGCTAGATTTTTCTCAAGATATTTAGGCGTATTTTCTTCTTACATGTTACAATTTATTTGAATTTCAATTTTGTTTAGGCCCCGTTTGATTACACGAAATTTTCCATGGAACTTGAAATTCGAATTCCAACTTCCACTTTTGACCTGTTTGATTGACGAAATTTTCCAAGGAATTGATTTTCCATGAATTTCTAGGTACAACACCTTAAAGCGTGATTTTCCACCTTTTTTTCCTAGGGCATAGGTGGTTTTTGGTTTTCCACCTTATTTTTATTTTATTTTTTTTTTGCTTTTTTTATTTTTTTTTTAATTGTTGGCAATGGGAACAAATTTTAGGAATAATTGTAAAAGAGGATATCCCTGAAATTGACAATTTCCACGTAAAACAAAGTCAAACGAACATCAAAAAATACTTTTACTTCAACATTTTCCACATGAAAAATTTATACAATCAAACACAATAATTTACAATTTCCATGAAAACAATTTCTAGGTAATTCAATTCCCTGGAATTCATTTTCTTTCCATGTAATTTTCCTACTTGTAATCAAACGCACCCTTAATGTTTTATATGTTTGAACTAGTTTAAGCTAGTTATAAGTGGTTGTATTATGTTGTCATGTTTTGTTTAGTCAAAAAAGTTGATAAAAATCTGAACTCATGTTACGGAACCTCCATAGCTTTTGTAAAATTTTCAATCAGATATTTCATCAACTTTTATTACAATTTACTAAAAATCTAATTATTAGCAAAACCAAACTACTGTTCCTCAAAAACTTGATGGTATCACATCTAAATATGTTTGATAGTTGTGTAGTGAATTAGAAGAAAAGTATTTGGCGATTGACTTTCAAGAATATGTTCTCGGGTTGAGATCATGTTGATCGTCTTGATGCACATCTTTCTTCAATGAATTAATTGTATCAGCGGTCCCTAAGCTTTTTCCTCACTAGAAATTAAGTCACTGAATTTGAATTGCTCAGAATCGGGTTGTTGAACTTTGATTAATCGTGTTATGGCAGTAACAACAAATCGATATATAGAGAATGATAATGGTTGATTATAATTGTTGTGGCGTTTAGGTTGATGACTAATTGTGTTGGCTTTCATTTAGTGTAATTTTCATAGTTGCAAAATGTTTTATTTTTTAAACCATGGTAGGAAAATTTTGCAAAAACATTACTATCATACCTTTTTGTGTTGGTATAAAGTTGCAGTGGATGACCTAAAATGGTACCAATGGTAACAAATCTCGTGCCAATTCATCCCTATAAGGAAAAAAGTATAATAATTAGGTAAACAATCATCAAAGCCTTAAAAACTTATTTATTAAACCCAACTCTACAGTCTTGAAAGGTGTAAATTGCAGGAATAATTACAGTTGCGGTTCTAAATTTTTTATTTTTTTTTGCAAATTTTACCCAAATCTTTCATCAGTTTTGCCTACAATCTAAACCTTTAATTTAGTTGTAGCAAAAGGACAAATGGACGGTTTCCATCCCATTGATTAGAAATTTAAAAAATTGAGCTCTTTTGGCTAATTTTGATCAATTTTAAAAGGGTAATTTATTTTAAAAGAGTAATTTATCATTTTATCCTCCTAAAATAGTTCAAAAGCAGTTAAAAGAATCAAATTTTTTTTATAGCTAACTAGGGACGGATTCAAGATCGGGTTACAAAATTTCAAATTGAGCTAATACGTGAAAAAAAAATTACACGCAAAAAACTTTTTTTTTTTTGAAAAAAAGAAAAATGCATTAAAAAAATAATTTTCTTGTGCCTTGGGGGGGACTACAGCCCAGCCCAGTCCCCCCTATATCCGTCTCTGTAGCTAACTGATGGTCAACTAGATGGAAACGTGAATTTGTTCTTGAACTGCAACTAAATGAATTGATTGGAACTATAGATGACACAAATGAAATATTTGGATAAAGTTTATAAAAAATGAAAGATTTAAAACCGTAATTACTATTACACATAAATGCGTACATTTACCTCTCGTAATTAGTAAGGACAAAACAAGTAGTAATAGGAAGCGTAAGCATAGCATAAATTAATTAATCAAATGAATTGTTGAGAGTCGAAGTCTTGTATGGGGCGGTGAATTGACGTTATCATTACCAAATAAATACCATTATTACATAGTTGAAATTTGTAATATCTAATGATTCAAATAACAATCCTGTCCGTCCATTCCAACCGCCCAACGAACCCACGCACTTAAGCCCTTTATCAATTCACTTGTTTTGTCCCATTTGATTTGATTGGTTCTTAGTTTTTACTCAGAAAACTCAAAATATCTAGGATTTGGGTTGATGACAAACACTTGAATTGGTCCTCCGCCACAATTTTCATTTACTGTACTTAATAATTATATATACTGTTTTCAACCAATTTGTTAATGATGTTTTGGCTTTGAGCCAACGCTTATCTACTTCCCTATTTGGCAATATTAAATAAAGTTATCATTAGATTAAACTAATATCTTCTTTGTCTTTGTTTAATCCTAAATCTCTTTCCTCTCTAATCGTAATGTGGATAAAATATCTAGTAATTTTATATATTAGAATAATAATTAACATAGTAAAATTTGAGGTATATTTTAACAATATTTCTCTTTCAAGATTGAAACTTGATACTCAGCCCCGTTTGATTTCCATTATTTGACTTCAAAAATGAAAAATATGACTTTTATCCATCACATCAAGCCACCATAGCATCATTTGATGCACATTAATGTAAAAATGAGAATGAAAAATATAGTCGTTACGAGCCCCACATAAAAGATAAAAAGTCAAATATGGTGGTTTAATATGATAGATAACAGTCATATTTTTCATTTTAATGGACGAAAATTGGAAACAAACGGGGGCCATATTTGACTTTATATCCCATAACGATTATATTTTTCATTTTTATTTTTATAAAAATGGAAATCAAATAGGAGCTCAATTTCATATAAGAGTTTAAAAAATAGTTTAATTTCAATCGAACCACTATCTTATAAATACGCGTCGATGGCAAAATTAAGTATCGCTCAAACTTAAAACAATAATCAATATTTGAAATTTCGAATTACTCTTCTTAACAAGATAACTTCTTTCTCTAATTATTTTCAACATTTTCTAATTGAGCGTGCATATTTCAGGCTTGTTTGGTATTAATTTTGAGAATTGATTTTTTGATCGTTAAAAAGAAAAGTGTGTCCTATCTGTAAGAAAAGAAGTTAAAAATGATGGATGAAATAGTTAAATAACGATTAAAAAATTGATTTCTTTAGAAGAAAAATCACTATCAAACATGCACGAAGTTCCAAAATGCATTGGCTGATTGCTATTTTTTAATTGAAAAAAACAACAAAACTTGTGGACTACGACTAATACTCCTATGCTAACGATACTGTTATTTTCTTAAAGATATGCTTAAAAACGCTTCTTTGTTGATGCTGTTTTGTTGTTTACTTCCTTCTATATATCCGTCCCCACCTCTTTATTTTGTTTCTTTTGCAATTGACCAAAGATAAATAAGCCTCCCATCTCCGATTGGTGAATATAATTTACAAAATATAGCTATATATATAGCTGCATATAGTCCCAAGAACAACCACCAATCTCAGTCCTAATCTTCGCCTCTCTCTCTCTCTCCTATCTTCTAAAAGAGTTGCAGACGTTGATCATAATGACAAAGGTACACCCAAAAGCCACCGTCCCAGCGCTAGCGCCACCCTCTAGCAATGGCTCCCCGGCGGTCCTGACCGTGTGGAAGAAATCGCTGCTATTTAACTGCGATGGCTTCACCGTGTTTGACGCCAAGGGCAACCTAGTCTTTCGAGTTGACAATTACATGTCCCATAATAATGCTCAAATTGTTCTCATGGACGCTTCCGGCAACTCTCTCTTCACTATCCGCCGCAAGGTACTTGTTATTACTTGACTGTAGTAAAAATGAAAAATAACTTAAAATTTTGTTTACTCTAATTCTATTGCGGCTATTGAACATATCAATCAATGATTGAATTATTTATTTGAGCTTAATGACTCCGGTATCATAATCTTGAAGTTATATGTTAAAAAATCAATCCTTATATATGTGAGACTTACCCTTTAATACCGTGTACCAGAAACTGAGCTGGTTGGTGTTTGGCGGTGAGACTTCAACGGATCCAAGGTTTTCGGTGAGGAAAAGCATCAATCTCTTGAATACAAAGTGCTTAGCTCGCATGAGCTCCCCGGACGGGAATCCAAAAGCAGGTCACGTGATTGAGGGGTCCTACGTGCAGCGGTGCTGTGCCATGTACGATGAGAACCGACGGCAAGTGGCTGAGATCAAGCCGAAAGAGGCAGCCGTCAAAGGCGTAGCTTTCGGAATGGATGTATTCCGTCTAATCGTAGAGCCTGAATTCGATATGGCTACTGCCATGGCTATTGTCATCATCCTCGATCAGATGTTCGGGTCTTCCACCATTTCCCGGCGGGGTCTCTGAATTTGATTTCATCCCAAATATTTTCACCGATAGACAAGATTTAATTTCGTTTTGTATTTAGCTTGATCTTTTCGTTTTTGATAAAAGATTAAGCTCTTCTCTTAGGTGCATAATATATCATAGGTATAAATATCGCTCAACAAACTAATGGAATTTGCTCCATGTATTTGCTTGTACGACTGCAAATCCTTGTACTTGTTTTATATTTTGCAGGGAGTAGTCGAGCTTGATTGTGATTATTAATTAGCAGTTTTCCTGTAGTTGCTCCTGGATCTTTTTTTAATTACGAAATTTCACACCATCTCGAGTAATTTCGGTGTTTGAAAAAGCTGTTAATTGTATCAAATTTTATGAGTGTTACGTTGAAAAACACGGTTATCGAATTTAACATGATAAATTTTTCAATTCTGATCAGTCAAATTATTTTTTATTTATATATTTCACGAAATTTACGAGTACTACTTATTTATCTATCATTCATTTCTATTTATTTATAGTTTAAACTGTTTAATAAACTGTTCCCAATTAAAAAATTAATAGTTACAGATTTTGATTGGAATTATGAGATGATCGATTACGTATATCAATTTTTTTCCAATCCCAAATTGGATTTGAAATTTTGCACAAACTGTTGACTACATCCTAATCTTTCCCACGCCTCAATAGTTAAAAGCTCACCCCCATTCACAAATTGGAATTACATGATCTTACTCAAAGGGTCTGTTTGATTTTAATGATGGAATTTGGATGGAAAAAAAATGAATTTTAGGGAATTGAATTGCCTAGAACTTGTTTACCTGGAAATTTTCAATTAATATTTTTGATTGATATAATTTTTCATCTAAAAAAATTGGAATTTTGAATCTTTTGTTGTTCGTTTGACTTTGTTTTTCATGAGAATTGTCCATTAAAGAGATATAATTTTTTACAATTGTGGATAAAATTTATTCCCATTGCTGAAGAAAAAAAAACTGGAAAACCAATTTTTATTGTTTTGGTGAGAATTAATTTTCTACCAATTCATGAAAAATGGACATGTGTGGAGAAAAGATGGAAAATGAATTCCATGGAAAAAAATTTTGCCAAACAACAAAAAAGTTGGAAAATAAAAAAAAAAATTCCATGGAGAATATCCCATATCAAACAGGCCCTAATATTTTTCTTTAGTAATGTAATCACAATTTCGGTAATGGGACCACATTGTTGGAACTAAGCCCCCCGTTTGGCCCCCCCTTTAAAACTCATCAATTTAATTTAAATTTTTTTCTCACCTATTTTCAACCACAATTTTCAATAAAATAATATTTCACACAAATCGAAAACTTTTCATTCTTTTACAACCATCATTTTTCAAAAAATACTATTCCTCCATTATAAATCCAAATAATGAAGGTCACACGGGGGTAAATGTTCTCAACATGTTTTTTAATAACATGTAATGCCCTCCAACTATCTCCGTCCTCTGGCCCAATTGATAAGTGTATTTTGTATGCTTTTCTAGGCCATTAAATTGGGGTATTTGTTAGCAATTTAGATAAGTTATAGCTTAATTATGTTTATTAGGTTGAACTCGGTGCAAATTGGTGGAATTGGAATAAATGAACAAAAAGGGTTAAAAATAAAAGAAATTCAAAGTTTGAGGATCAAAATGTAAATATTCAATAATTGATTTGAACAATAAAATGATGACTGAAGATCACATATAATTAATGGGAGGTCAACGGAGTGAAATATAGTTGAAATGTTTTTACAAATCAATTTCCAAAAAAAAAAAAAAAAGAAGAAGAAGAAGAAGAAGTTATGCTTAGAATTTTAGCATCAACTTGTGACCCATTTTTCGGATAGCAAACACTTGAATTAGAAAATTTGTACTTCTAGAAGAATTGTAGTCCTTTGAATCCTCTTTTCAAATACATTTTGAATCACCTAAATCAGATGTCAAAAGAGAAAGTTACGATCAAAACACCGAAAGCTGCTCAGGGACGAACTCCGCAAACATGTGCGCACGTGGGTTGTGTGTGTACGAGATAGAAATTTTAATGACTCGAGAACCATTTAGATCAACAGTGCGTACACGATAGTTATACCTGTCCGCACGCACTGGTATAACTAAAAAATGAATCAAGAGTTTACTTTCACGATTCAAACTCTTTTGGAACCATTTTTGACCTATTTTTCGACTCTTATATATACAAAATAAGGGTTACACAATAAAAACTCTCTTGCCTCTTTATACACAATAATATCATCAAATTTATCAAGAATAAGAGGCCAATTTATTAATTTTGGGAGAGAAGATCAAACCTAAAAAAAATTGAAGGGCAATTACATTAAGAAATTGAAGTATTCAACTTTGAACTTGAAGATCAACATTTTTTATATTCTTTCATGATCGAGGTGATATTTTTCCATTATTCTTTTTTGTAATATATTTAAAATCATGCTATGCTAGATCCCTTTTTAGTATTGGATGAGATGGAGCATATTATTATCTTTTTTAAATTCAAAACCAATAGTTTAGTTTAGTTCTTGCATTTCTTGATTAATTTTCATACCCATTATATTATTTAATTGATTAGCTACCAATTAAATAATTAATTGCTTGTTGTAGTGTTGGGAGCCTCACAATAAGTTTATAATGCGGTAACATTAACATGCGTGGAATAGATGTTAGGAATACCATATATCAATCGTGTAATAATATAGATAATCTAAAATTTAATGAGTTCTAGCAATTCGAATTCGAGTTAAGCATATATTTAGGTCATGATTAGGATAGAATTAATCTTGGAAAGAAAGTTAAATATATAAGCTTTATCGATTGTCAAGAACGCATGAACAAAGCTAAATTACGATTCAAGAAATGAATCAGATAATACTAGGCAGAGTTGAAATCCAATACAATCATCCATAATTTGATAAATATCAAACTTTTTATTGCTTTCTTAGATTAATTTAACAAAAATAAAATCAGACTTTTTATTGCTTTCTTAGATTAATTTAAAATAATGCTATGCTAGATCCCTTTTTTGTATTGGATGAGATGGACCATATTATTATCTTTTTTAAATTCAAAACCAATAGTTTAGTTTAGTTCTTGCATTTCTTGATTAATTTTTCATACCCATTATATTATTTAATTGATTAGCTACCAATTAAATAATTAGTTGCTTGTTGTAGTGTTGGGAGCCTAACAATAAGTTTATAACGTGGTAACATTAACATGCGTGGAATAGATGTTAGGAATACCATATATCACTTGTGTAATAATATAGATAATCTAAAATTTAATGAGTACTAGCCATTCAAATTCGAGTTAAGAATATATTCATGTCATGGTTATGATAGAATTAATCTTGGAAAGTGTTAGGAAAATGTTGTAATTGGCAATCTGTGACCAAAAGGACTAATTTGTCGAGTTTGTAAAGTCAAGGACCAATTTGTCAATGTCTAAAAGTTTAGGGACTTGTGTTGCAATTTCGCAATAATTAATGTATAGGTCTAGGGTAAAGTTGGATGGTTTGAAGATGAAAACGGCGCAAGATTGGTGCTAGAGTTTCGCCCTGACCTCGCGCGAGCCTAAATAACAAAACTTGCGTCGCTGGAGTTTCGCCACCACTTCGCTCGAGCGAGAGTGTGTCGCTAGAGTTTCGTCAGCACTTCGCTCGAGCGACAGTGTCATCCGGCGTTTGGTAATTTTCATTCCTCGCGAATTTTAAACACTCCATACTACCAAAAACGACCTATTATATAAACAAAAATTCCGCTTTTCATTAACAACCTTTGGCAAAACACATAGCACAATATTTTCCTCTCTACCAAAGGATCAATTGTAAAACTCTTCACCATGTGATTCATTGAAGAAAAAAAACATCAAACACCTTTTCAAACAAAACACCTATCAAAAATCCTCACTACTTCCAGAAGATCAGTTGACTGAAGATCCGGGAAGGAGGTTGATTGAAGAACTGGAGTTCTTGTTAATTCACGGGAAATAGAAGAAATACAAGGCTGGGATTTTGGCGCAGATCTGCAGAATCTAGGAGAGCTTTGGTTGATACAGTAAGGAGGTCAGAGAGTTGTTAGATACAGTCATGTCTGGCGTACTGTAAGTTGGAGTCTTCTATAGTGAATCCCTACTGGCTTGTGCTCGGAGTTTTTACCCAGTTAGATTTTCTCCGTCAACAATTTTTGTGTTATTTATTGCTTTCTGTCAATTTTAATTCAACCGGCAATTCAACATATGTAGTTAAATCATGTGAATGAATCTGGACAACGTTTAATTTATATGACTTGTTGCATAACTTAATTAAATTGTTAAATTCCACATAGACACCTATTCACCCCTCCTCTAGGTGTTGGTTGGGTCGAACTATAGCCTTTTCAAGTGGTATCAGAGCCAAATATCGAGTCCTGACCCGTAGTTGTCTAGATGAGTCAATCACTTTCTGTACCTCCGTACTTTGACGGAAGTAATTATGCTTACTGGAAGGTTAGAATGCGTGCGTTTCTTAAGTCCTTAGATGAGCATGTTTGGTTGAGTGTGCAAAATGGCTGGAAACCTCCCTCCACTATCGTATCAGGAACTGTTAACCTTACTGATATATCACTGTGGACTAAGGATGAGATAGCTGAATGTAATTAGAATAGCAAGAGATTTCATGCCTTGTTTATGGTCGTGTCTCCCGAAGAGTTTAGGAGAGTGTCAATGTGCGAAACTGCTAAAGAGGTGTGAGATATTCTTGAAACTACACATAAGGGAACTAAAACGGTAAAGAACTCGAAATTACAAATGCTAGCTTCTAGGTTTGAAGAAGTGAGGATGAAAGATGACGAAACCTTTGATGAATTTTATGCAAAATTGAATGATATTGTTAATTCTAGTTTCAATTTAGGCGAGAAAGTTCCCGAGTCTGAAATTGTTAAAAAAGTACTTAGGTCCTTACTCGAGAGATTTAGGCCTAAAGTTACTGCCATTGAGGAAAGTAAGGATCTAGATGAAGTTAAAATTGAAGAACTTGTAGGATCCTTGCAAACTTATGAACTCACTATCACACAACCTAAGAAAGGAAAGTCCATTGCTTTAAAATCCATCAAAGAGGATGAATCTTCCGATACTGAGTCTCTGAGGGATGATGAAATTGCTTACTTTGTGAAGAAATTTCAAAAGGCTCTCAAGAATACGAGAAATCCTCAGGATAGAAAAAGTGGAGTCCCTAGCAGATTCTCAAAAGAAAAAACTGAAAGGTTTAACAATAAAAGTTCTAGTGATAAACCACATTTGGTTAGGTGCCATGAATATCAAGGTATAGGTCACTATAGGAATGAGTGCCCTAGTTATAAGAATAATCAAAGAAAAGGGCAGGGTAAGGCCTTAGTTGTTTCACTTACTGATAACGAGTCTGAGACCAGTGATAGGCAGGAGTCATCTAGTAGTGAAGATGAAGGGAACTATATGGCATTTGTGTGGACTATTAAGAGTGAATCTGATAAGGAGAGTGACAAGGTTGAGGAAGAACTTCACAACAATAATTCTAGTAATGAGGATGACATAGACATACATGAGGCCTATCAACTCTTGTTCAAGGAGAGTCTTAAAATAAAAAAGATCAATAAAGCCCTACTCAAAAAGGTTGATGAACTTGAAAGAGAAAAAGAGAGACATGATAGTAATCTCCAGAATTCACTTAAGAGTGTCAGTGAGTTAAAATGTGCCAATGAGAAGTTGGAAGACAAGGTTAAGACATTAACTAGTGAATTGGAGAAATCTAATGCTCATCTGCAGACTTTCATAAGTGGAACTAAGAAATTGGATGATATTTTGGGAATGAATAAGCCTATGGGAGATAGGAAAGGTCTAGGATATGTTGAGGGTAATACACATGGTGCTGGTCCATCTAAAACTGTATTCATTTCTGCCTCTAGGAAGTCTAACGCTATCAACAGTCCAAATAAGGGTAAGAATGGTTCGAGGGAACAAAGTCATCAATCACGTAGAAATTTTATGCCCAAACACCCACAGACACGTACCTTTGAGCCTAGGTTCATTCCCACCTGTCACCACTGTGGAGCTCTAGGACACACTAGGCCTAGATGTTATAAGTTAGGCAATGAGCATAGAAATCAGAATATTCCAAGTCAGGTCAGTTTTCTGACTAATCAGGTTAGTCATTTGACTGAGATGCTTACTAGGCTGACTAGGAGTACCACGTCATCTAAGAAAGTTTGGGTTAAAAAGGAGGATCTAGCTGGACTTTCAGGTTAGGTAAATTGCTATGTTGCTCATGTTGCATTAAAAGCCCAGGATTTCAATATGTGGTACCTTGATAGTACTTGTTCTAGGCATATGTGTAGTAACAAGGCTTTATTCACTACTCTTGATGAATGCAATGGGGGTATGGTTACCTTTGGAGATGGGGGCTCTGCACCTATTCTTGGCAAAGGTACTGTACAAATACATGGATTATCTGTGATCTCAAATGTGCTTTATGTGGAATGTTTAAAGTTGAACTTGTTAAGTATTAGTCAGATTTGTAATGCTGATTTTGAGGTTATCTTTTTGGAAAAGAGATGTACCGTGTATGATTCATTCGGTGGGGTGGTCCTTGAAGGGGTTAGAACTTCTGATAACTGTTATGGAGTCCTACCTAATTCTAACTATGTGTGTGGGAGTGCAAAAATTGATGTGAGTGAACTCTGGCATAAAAGATTGGGTCATTTAAACTATAAGAGTCTAGTACAACCGGCTAAAAAGGAGTTGGTAGATGGTTTGCCTAAAATAGGTCCTAGTGAAAATGTTATGTGTGGACCATGTCAACTGGGTAAATAAATTAAAGGAATCCATAAAAAGACTTCTAAAATTTTGACCAAAAAATCCTTGGAATTGATACACGTGGATTTAATGGGACCATCTAGGGCTGAGAGTCTAGAAGGTAAGCGGTATATTCTGGTTGTGGTAGATGATTTCTCGAGGTTCACATGGGTAGAATTGCTTAGGGAAAAATCTGATGCATGTGACCTTATAAAATCTTTGTGTAAACGGCTTAGTAATGAACTCAATCACAAAGTGTCCAGAATGCGAAGTGATCATGGAAAAGAGTTTGAAAATTTCAATCTTGAGAGCCTCGCATGGATGAAGGGATACTATATGAGTTCTCTTCCCCTATCACTCCTCAACAAAATGGGGTGGTTGAAAGGAAGAATCGTATTATTCAGGACATGGCTAGAGCCATGCTTTATGACAAGGGGCTAACCTTACATTTTTGGAGAGAAGCTGTTAATACTGCATGCCACATAATCAATAGAGTCTACCTTAGACCCAAAACCGATCAAACTCCAAATGAGATTCTAAAGGGTAAAAAGCCTATTGTCAAATACTTTCGTGTGTTTGAGAGTAAGTGCTACATTGTGCATGATAGAGAGAACTTGAGTAAGTTTGAATCTAAGAGTGACGAAGGAATCTTCTTAGGGTATTCTAGAAATAGTCGAGCATTCCGAGTATATAACTCACGTACTCGTACTATGATGGAGCCAGTCAATGTTGTGATAGATGATGGTGTGAGGGAGGGGGAGAATGTTGAAAATTATGATAGAAATGGTAATCTTATAAGGTCTAGTGATCCTACTGAACCGCTTGTGCCTGAATCATCTCTTAAAATTCCTGAAACTCCTGAAAAGGAAACACATCCACAAGATCAAGACACAATCCCTAAGGAACCATCAACTAGGGTCAAGTCTAATCATCCTAAGGATAATATCATTGGGGATCTGGATGAAGGTATGAGGCTTCGTAAGAGAGTACTGAACAATCTAGCATATACTAGCTATGTTTCACAGGTAGAGCCTAAGAAAGTCGAAGAGGCCCTTAGTGATGAGTGTTGGGTGAATGCAATGCATGAGGAACTCAATCAATTTGCTAGAAACAATGTGTGGATCTTAGTACCCAGACCTGAGAATTGTAATGTTATTGGTACTAGGTGGATCTTTAAGAACAAGACAGATGACCAAGGTACCATAACTAGGAATAAGGCCAGATTAGTTGCTCAGGGTTATACTCAAGTTGAGAGAATTGATTTTGATGAAACTTTTGCCCCTGTTGCACGACTTAAGTCTATTCGGATTCTGCTTGCTGTTGCCTATACCTTAGGGTTCAAGCTACATCAAATGAACGTTAAGAGTGCCTTCTTGAATGGACTTCTTCAAGAAGAAGTCTATGTGGAACAACCAAAAGGATTTGTTGATCCAAAGTTTTCCCACTGTGTCTACAAACTCCACAAAGCACTCTATGGTCTGAAACAAGCTCCTAGAGCTTGGTATGAGAGACTTACGTCATATCTTGAGGAACATGGTTTCTCTCGAGGTGGTGCTGATAGGACCTTATTTATTAGACACATTGAAGAAACTATCACTATCGCTCAAATTTATGTCGATGACACATTTTTTGTTCTCCTATTGAGTCTCTAGCATATGAGTTTGCCGAGTGTTTGAAGCAAGAATTTGAGATGAGTATGGTTGGTGACTTGAGTTATTTCCTTGGACTTCAGGTGAAACAGACTGAGGATGGCTTGTTTATTTCACAGTCTAAGTATGCAAAGGATCTAGTTAAGCGGTTTGGGTTAGATTGTAAGAAGCATACTAGGACACCAATAAGTACTAGCTTGAAGTTAGGTCGTGATCCTTCAAGTAAGAGTATAGATCCTTTCCTATATCGAAGCATGATAGATAGTCTTCTCTATCTTACAGCTACTAGACCTGACATTGCTTTTAGTGTTGGAGTGTGTGCTCGATTTCAGGCAGATCCCAAAGAATCACACTTAAGCTCTGTTAGACGCATCATTAGATATGTGAGTGGTACTGTTGATCTAAGGATTTTCTATCTAGAAATTCTAATCTTGATTTGGCTGGCTACTCCGACGCCGATTGGGCGGGGAATGCAGATGATAGAAAAAGTACTTCTGGGGGCTGTTTCTACATGGGTAGCAATTTAATAGCCTGGTTAAGTAAGAAACAAAATTTCATATCCCTATCCACGGCAGAGGCCGAATACATAGCAGCTGGAAGTTGCTGCACTCAGCTTCTCTGGATGAAGCAGATACTGAGTAATTATGGGATTAATCAAGGGACCATGACTGTTTTCTGTGATAATACCAGTGCTATAAAATATTTCTAAGAATCCCATTCAACATTCTCGAACAAAACATATTGACATACGACATCATTTTATTCGTGAACTTGTTGAAACACATGTTGTCTCCTTAGATCATGTTTCTACTGACAACCAATTAGTCGATCTACTTACGAAACCACTAGATGGGATGAGGTTTGAGTCGCTTCAGATGACTGTTGATATTTGTTTGCCTATCTGATCATGGATTCATGCATATTCATGCATTTATCATATCTGCACTTATTCATTTCATATCTTGTATGTGATAAATGTGTGTGTGGTGCATTTTGTTTGTTAGTTATTTTTTTTAGTTTTTATTTTGAGTATTAAGTTTGCATTTGAAATTTAAATTAAAAAAATAAAAAATAAATAAAATAAATAAATAAAAATTTTTGTGTGCATCGTGTATGACGTTATGATGTTTGCATTCAGGATCAAACTATATTTTTCATCATGTGTACGAGTCTGAGGTTCCATCGTAGTTCTCACTTTCTGTGGAGTTCTTGTATACAGCTCGTCATGCATTTTTGCACAGCACACACTGTAGTCCTGTAGGTGGGTCTTGACCGCATGGGTGAGACTTGGGAGGTATTCTTCTGTGATTGGGGTTGTTTGTCCATTTGACTTGATCTGTGACGAGTGTAACCTAATCAATATTGTCTTTCCTCATTTTCTACATTATTCTTTGAACTTATTTCTATCGTCGGGGCCTATTTGACTCGAACAATTAAGCCTTAGGGGCTTCTAACCTGGTGTCCTATGGTCCAATTATACTGTTTGATATAGGTTCTCGTGGAATTGGATTTAACTGGCACTTGGTCAATATACACTCTTTTACAGTTGTTTTCACGTGTCCTTTCTCACTAATTTAAGGTTTTGAGTCTAACTTGCATGGACTACGTGGCACATTTCACGCTGATGTTCTGTATAAAATTTACTTCATGGGATTTTGAACTATGTGTGGACTTAAGATTTGTCTACATGCTCTGAATGTCGGGTTTGTGATTTTGTGCATATTATTCATATCGTCTACATATTTTGGTACGTGCTTCATCATCGATTTTTTAGTTTGTCTTTACAAAAACAAAAATAGTAATAATAATACATACAACTGAAAATAAAAATAAAAGTTTTTGGACCTATTTTCGTTATTTTCCAAAGTTGTGCTACTTTTCATAAATTTCAAATGTTTGGTGCTATTTTTGACATTTCATTTTCGCTCGAGTCTCACCTGGACTTCGCTCGAGCGACAAAAGCAGAAAGGATGTCGCTCGAGTTTCGCCCCGGTCTCGCTCGAGAGACATATATATTTAAAATGCGGCTGTTTCAATTTTTCGCGCATTTCATCATTTTTTCTCTCCTCCTTCAATTCTTTTCTTCTTCCATTGAAAATTATTCACTCCCAATTTATTTTTGGCCTCAATTCGACATCTTTAACACAATCTTGGGTCTGAAACACTGACTTCTTGGCAAAATCTTTAGGTAATTCCCAACTTTCTTTGCTTTCAATTTTTTTTGGTTTATTTGATTTCTTTTCTTGATCATTGTGTTGGTTTGTGTTATTTTGGTATTACATCTTGCTTGTACACATGTTTTGCATCAAGTATTGCTTTCCATTTCCCAAATTATAATGCATTCATATGGTTTTCTTCACATTTTTTTTTACGTTTTTGGTCCATGTTCATCAATATAGTTCTTGCACCTCGTTGATTCGTTTGATGTGTGGTTTGTTTGATTGTGAAGACCATAGCATTTAGTTTTTAGGGATGTGTTTGGATTTGTTATTGGGTCTTGTATGTGCTTGGAATTTGGTGCCGAAGTCACGCACGCCACGTGTTCGATGAAAGTTCACTTTTATGCTTATTTGGTTTCTTTTGATTTTTTTTTTTGATTTCCTTCTTTTCCTTCGTTTCTTTCCTACTTGTTTGAGTGTCGTTGCATGCCGTGTGTGTTTTCATTCATGTTTATGTGATTGGATCATATGTGTTTCTGTGTGTGCATCTTCTCATATCATGTTGCATCGTGATGCGTGCATCTCACATTATGCTTATTCTTTTCATCTCCGCATGTGTCAGATGGCTCGTAAGCACTCTCGTACC